CCTCCCCCTCCCAGCAGCATGGCATTTACTTTTCCTTTCAGTACTGTCATTCTGGAGGGGAAGAGAGCAAGCTTTAAAAAAAATATAAAAGAAAACATGAACATGACATAGTTAAACAAAATGCTTGAAAACAAAGTTATTTTTTCTTAATTGCCAAAAGACCTGGGATTTAGGTGATTAAAACGTGGTTTTCTGAAGGAGTCCTTTACTTGTGAGTTTGAATTGCTGCAGTTTCTTAAGTAAATGAAGGTAATTCCATCATCATTTGATGCTAGGGGTTTTTTTGGCACCCTCCCACTTCCACCAGTTATTACTGCTGTCTATTAGGAACCAGTTATTCCATCTGTGTTCTAGTAGGACAGCAGTCGTCTGTCAGACCTGCTCTGTTTAATTTGATCTGTGAAACTTGCAGGTTCACTAGAAATGGAGAAATAAGTCTCTCTAAAGTGTAACTCTTGCCTCCTCTTCACTCCTGTCCATGAAAAGGCAGCATCTTCCATGTGGAGTATACCAAACCAGAGACCCAAAAGAGCAAGATTTGTTTACACTTCCAGTAGAAGGGATTTTTTAGTATAGTACTTTATTTAAATTAAGTAACAGCCAAGACAACTTTAACCTCTTCTCAAGACAGGGAAAGTGCTCACCTTTAGTTTAACCAGTTGTAGTTTTACATGTTTTTTTCTCCGTGCAGTACCAGAACTCTGCTCCCACAAATGTGAAGTCTCTTAAAGTCTCCAGCAAGTCAGCATTTCAGGAGAGGTCTAAAAACAAAGGAGCTATCCAGAAAAGGAAAGTTGTGTTTTCTTTCAGGGCAACATTCGACCCTGAAATCCTCAAGGAAGGCAAGATCCTCTATACTGGAACCTTAAGGACAATTACAAATGCAGAGAAAAAATTGTATTGTTTCCTCTGTTAAATTGTAGTCTTGTGGGTGTCCAGAAAAGTTCTGATTTAAGGGGTTAGTGTGTGAAACCTATAGCTTGCAAGTGTCTTTCATACCAGATAGTTTCCATTTAGTGAAATACAGACCTCTGCAAACAGAGTAGTAGAGGTACTTTTAGGCATGCATATATCATCCTGCCCTTTTTTTGGTTATACCATGAAAAGGTGAGTCATTTGAGTACCTATATTCTAACTTGTAGGGCTATTTTTTGGGGAAGGAGAGTTTGGATTCCAGTGAATGAATTTATTTTTCCCCAAATTATGGTTCACAGTTACGTGATATAAGATCAGCAGAATATGTCAGTGTGGAATTTACATTTTGTTTTTCATAGTAATTCTAAAGTGACTTTGGGATGGTCAGTATGTTAGAAAGACTAACAGTGGTAAAGGTTGAGGTATTTTTTTAGCTGTAAATTCTGCTCTCTGATACTGGATTTTTTAGTTAGTTCTGTAGGACCTAACTTTCTCCCCAGGTCAAATGTTTAGTTTATCAAGATACCACCCCATTTTTTCCCATATCATGTATCCCTCTGTCTTCTGCCAAGTGCCGATGATTATTTTTACCCATTTTCACAATCCTGAGGATATTGAAGGATATCTTGTAGGATAGAGGAATCTAGGTTTTAACTAAATTTTTCTTTTTGTGTCTATTCTCTCACTTGTCTGGTTTGACTTGCATATTTTTTTTTGTTGTTGTTTTTGTCTTTGATGTTTCTCAAAATATCTTGGAGACTGTGACTTAGTGTCAGTCTTGGTTTCTAGTGGTATATTTTCTGAGTATTCCTTGAGAATAAGGAAGCTCCCAAAAGGAACAAGAAAAAAAAAATCCACAGTATTTAGGGACATTGTCACAGAGAATAGTAGAATGTTGTCAGGCACAGCAGCTTAAGTCAGCTAGGGCTGGAATTCCCTGACAAAATGTGACTGCAGACTGCAGATGTTATACCTGACTTGCAGTGTCCCTTTGCAGGAATTATTTAAAAGGTAAGACTTCTCATTTTTGAGAAAA